CTCGGCGCCCCCATCCGCCTCCGGCCTGGGGGCGGTCGGGGACGCCCGGTGGGGCTGGGGAGGAAGGAGGCGATCGTGATGGAGCGCGAGGACGGACGGAAGGAGAAAAGAGGAGGGAAAGGACGGAAAAAGGGTAAGAGAGAGGCCGAGAGAAAACGGAGGAAAAAAGCCAAGAGCGGGGATGAGCGGCCAAGAGAAAACGGAGGAAAAAAGCCAAGAGAAAGGATGAGCGGCCAAGAGAAAACACCAAAAACGTATGCGAGAAAGCCTAGAACGTGATGGAGCGCGAGGACGGACGGAAGGAGAAAAGAGGAGGGAAAGGACGGAAAAAGGGTAAGAGAGAGGCCGAGAGAAAACGGAGGAAAAAAGCCAAGAGCGGGGATGAGCGGCCAAGAGAAAACGGAGGAAAAAAGCCAAGAGAAAGGATGAGCGGCCAAGAGAAAACACCAAAAACGTATGCGAGAAAGCCTAGAAAAAGGCCGGGAGAAAACGCAGAGAAAGGATGAGAGGAAGGAAGGACAGAAGAGCAAAGAAAACCCAGAAGAAGGGAAGAAGGAGGAAAGAAGGAATGGAAGGAAAGGCCGAGAAAGAAGGGGCAGACGAAGAAAACGAGTGAAGGAAGGAATGAACGGCTGGATGACGGACGGGAAGGGTCTTGCTGCTCCTCTGATGGAGAAGGTGGGACTCAGCCCAGCGTCACCCCTCGTCCCACCTGCCCCTGGAGGACCACGTCCCATCTTGGGCCCTGCCTCCGTCCCCAGGGCTGCGTCGTGTCCGTTCTCCTCCATGAGCCGCGTTTCGGGGTCTCCTGCGGCCTGGTGGAGACGTGGCGTGGTGCCTCTTGACTGTCCTCAAGGGGCGTATGTCTGGCAGGAGCCGCTTGTTGGGGTTGACCCCAGCTGAGGAACGTGCTGGTGTCCTCACGACCATCCGTGGTCGACGTTGGTTTCTGCACCTAATGAGGAGCCACGTTTCAGGGTCCGGCCTCCTGGAGATGTGTCCCAGCACCACTCAACCGTCCTCGTTCAACCCCAGTTTCTGCACCCGGTGAGGAGCCACATTTCCAGGTTTGGCCTGCTGGAGATGTGTCCCAGCGCCTCTTGACCGTCCTCGATTGACCCAGGTTCCTGCACCCACTGTGGAGCCACATTTTGGGGTCTGGTCCATTGGAGACACATTCTGGTGCCCTCTTGACCGTCTTTGTCCAACCCCGGTTCCTGCAGCCACCATGGAGCCATGTTTTGGGGTCCAGCCCCATCAGAACCACATCCCAGAACCTCTCGATCAGCCCTGGTTTCTGCACCTGCTGAGAAGCCACGTTTCAGGATCTGGCCCCTTGGAGACGCCTCCTGGTGCCCTCTCCACCGTCCTCGTCCAACCCCGGTTCCCGTGTCCACCACGGAGCCACGCGTCGGGGTCCAGCCCCATCAGAGCCGCGTCCCAGCTCCTCTCGACCATCCACGACCAACCCTGGTTCCCGCCGC